TAAAAAAATGTGAAATAAAACTTTTAGAATTGTGTATGTATATATATATATGCATTTATATTTTTGTGACATCATTATTTATGTGTCTTTTAAATCCTACCGTGAAAAATTTGTGTAAAGAACATTGAGTGGATTTTTAGTGGAATATCACTAGACCACCTGTTTAAAAATATAATGGTAGGTTTCATTTTAGCAGAATTTATATTTATTTTCCTTTAACTAAACGTACAAGTACCTTGTAAAGGTGCATTCAGGCTGAGAGCGTCGAGCGTCGCGTCCGCGTGTCGAAATGGAATCAATTCACTTAACTTAAATTAGACCGTTCAGGCAAACAGCGTCGCGTTTAGTTCGAGTTCAATGGGTTTTTTTCGAGTTCTGTGATATTAGCTTATAAATTGGTTTGGTTCGAGTTCAATGGGGCAGACGCGACGCAAACGCCACGCGACGCTCGACGCTCTCAGCCTGAATGTACCTTAAGAAACCAATTAAATATGGGCGCGTCTTAAAAAAAATCGACGCAATATTTTTAGATATTGACCTCCTTACAATAATGACCACGAGCCGCCACTGATGTATAACCATCGACAATCTTATAGATCAAAAACAGATTTGTTCTAGAAACGAAAAATTTGAAATATTATTTTACCAAAATATTTAGCCAGAACATTCATATTGTAAGCTACTTTCAAAATGAAGTTGAGAAAAGTACCGTATGACCGAAAAAAAAACCACGTCCAGTTGGCTAGGAAATGACGATCGATGACATTCCCATATACAGCAATCTTCATTTTCATCAACAGATTTTCGTACATTTGTATGTACTTAAATGTAAAAAAATTTGAGGGGTCCAGTGGAAAAACGATGAGATTCCATTTTTCAAAAAGTTGAGTAAAACGAAATTCAAAGTTTCACAACTACTGATGAAATAGTTTTTATTTGTATGTTTGAACTTTGAACTAGTAATTTTAATGACATTTAGAGTTCTTCCTGAACAATTTTCTTGATGGTAACAAGCTGATGGCACCAAGAAACTAAACAGAACAAAGCAAAAAGAATAAACGCCAGAGACCTGTTTAAACAGCAGAGAGAGGGAACCTCATTGTTTTTGGGAGTCTCATCGTTTTTCCACAGTGCTGCCTATTTTCAGACGTAGCTTTTAGTGGAATCTCATTGTTTATCCCCTGTAACAGCCTGTAAGGTTTAGTAGACACATACTTCACGTTACAAGCTACCGCATGATGTCAAAATGTCGATTTCGGAAAAAAATGGAATCACATCGTTTTTCCACTGGGCCCTTCATTTGAATTCTTCCTTAGATTTTTTTAAGCCTTTTTATTCAGTGGGAATAAAAAGGTTACATTAGATATGTTTAAAGGGTTAAAGGAGGTAATAGACACAAAATACATCGTTATAAACAATTTGTTCCTTTTTATTTATTGTACAGCAGTATATAAACACAAGTATAGTATATATTTAACATGTAATAAAGTCACTGTTGATCAGAGCTGCAAGTTCACAGAAAACTTCAGAGTCTTTTTTGATTTAAATCATTTTCATGAACGTCATTTGATTTTAAGTCATTTTTCGAAAGCTGACTTAAAACTTAAGTCTTTTTAAAATGATTTGTGATTTAAATCTTTATTTCGAAATAGAAAAAGATTCAAGTCTTTATAGAAAAGACTTAAGTCATTAAAAATATTTAAATCTTTTTATAAAAAACTTATTAAGTCATTAAAAAAACTTAAGTCTTTTTATAAAAAGCTTAAGTCAGATTTTTATATATTTTGATGATAAATTTTTAACAGCAGCATTTCTTTCTAAATTGTTAGGCGGCAGCCAAGCAGCAGAATAAAAAACAATGCTCAATACCACTAGCAAATAAAATGTTAGTTTACAAAAATAGAAAAAGATTTAAATCTTTTTAGAAAAGAGGAAAAGACTTAAGTCATTAAAACGATTTAAGCACTTTTTATACCTACTACCGGTGTTAATTATTTGTCGTTTTACGCGTGCGTAGCGAGTTTATTGTGTTTCAAGTGAATCCCCGCGATTCCGTTATGTAGCCCGAAAGAAATTTATCTCGAATATATTGAAGAGTACCTTAAAATCCTCCAGCCCTTAGCTTATGCCATCGATATATTACATAGTGATCAAATCAAAACACATCACCACTTTTTAATAGTTATATATGTTATATACAGGGTGGCGCACGTCATTCGCCTCGGTTGATTATACAAAAACAGAAAGATGTAGAAAAAAAAAATTTTATGGGTATATGTGGGGAGGGAATGTGCACAATTTAAAATTATTTTGAAATGAACAGGGTGTTTCAGAACTAAGATCCATACCAAAGTTATATTTTTTCTTATGGAACACCCGGTATTTTATTTTATTTTTGGATTCTTGGGACCAAAAAAAGGTATTTATTATAAGGGTTTAATATGTTTAAAATCTTTGGTTTTTGAGATATTTAAGGATATTTAAAAATGCATGCTACATTAGAATAAATTATTAACACCCTGTACATTGCCCTTCACCACTAATTTCTGCGCTGACTTTTAAGCCAGAGAAATAAACTTTACTGAAAAATTTGATTGCTTCGTTTAATGTATACAGGGGTATCAAAAATTGCTGGTCTATTTTAAATATTTATTTTACATAAAAACCTCGTTATTTCAAATACAACACCCTGTATTTTTTAAAATAAATCGAAGCAGATTCAAATGCTCTTTCAAACTGTATTAGGGTTTCCTATACCTATCTAGCTCAGATTTTGAATAAAAAGCAATTTTTCAATAAAATGGCAATCAAGATGGCTGGTGTCGCTATGGCAATTTTCTAGTTAAAGTTAGTAACTCTTTTCAAAATCGACATTAGTTTATGGACATTATTATTTAGATTTATAACAGTTTACTTAAATTTAGCTACAGTAGTTTAATAAGTATTTGTAAGTATTCATTATTTTATCAAGAAAAATAAAGCAGTATCTGCTGGTGGAACGAATGGATATGTATTTTATTTTGTGAGGAAAATTGCTTCTTGGCCTCAAAGGCTTATGCTCAAAGATATCCAAATAAGAGTCTTCCTGATAAGCTTTCCTTGAAAAAATACTTTTCTATTTCGCAGAACTATGGTAGTGTGGTTTATAAAAAACTATAGTAGGCAGAAACCTGTCGTTAGAAAATGAATTTGCCGTAATTGGCTCTTTTATAGAAAATCCATATAGGTACATATCTACAAGTGAACGTAAAATAAATGAAAGAACTACTTCTTCGTTTTTCTTGATAGAATAATAAATACATATTTAATAAATATTATTTAAAAAACTACTGTAAGCAAATTAAACAAAAATAAACTGCTATAAATTTAAATGAAATCCATAAACTAATTTTGATTTTCAAAATAGCTACTGTCACTAGAAACTTGACATCTTTTATTGAAAAATTGCTCTTTATTCAAAATCTGAGCTAGATAGGTATAGGAAACCCTAATATAGTTTGAAAGAGCATTTGAATCTGCTTCGATTTATTTTAAAAAATACAGGGTGTTGTATTTGAAATAACGAGGTTTTTATGTAAAATAAATATTTAAAATAGACCAGCAATTTTTGATACCCCTGTATACATTAAACGAAGCAATCAAATTTTTCAGTAAAGTTTATTTCTCTGGCTTAAAAGTCAGCACAGGAATTAACTCTGAAAAGCAATGTACAGGGTGTTAATAATCTATTCTATTGTAGCCTGCATTTTTAAATATCTTTAAATATCTCAAAAACCAAAAATTTTAAACATATTTAGCCTTTATAACAAATACCTTTTTTTGGGCCCAAGAATCAAAAAATGAAATAAAATACAGGGTGTTCCATAAGAAAAAATATAACTTTGGTATGTAGTTAGTTCTGAAACACACTGTACATTTCAAAATAATTTTAAATTATGCACATTGCCACCCCACATATACTCATAAAATATTTTGTTTCTACATCTTTCCGTTTTCGTATAATCCTAAGGTATAATCAACCGAGGCGAATGAGGTGCGCCACCCTGTACATGTATTCGATAACATCTAAACTGTAATGGATACATATGAAGTACTACAAAATCGGGTAAATTTTATAAAAAAAACATATTTTTGTGTTTATAATTGTTCTGAAAATTAACCGTTTTATTTTATGTGGTTTTAGACGCATTTGTACCTACTGTAAATTAATAATATAGGTAATAATACCGTATGATCGAATAAAAACGGCGTCAGCGATGGCTATGGAATGACGATCAATGGCATTTCCCATATAAATTTACATATAAAATGTCAGCGATCTTCATTTCATAGCCATCGCTGACGCCGTTTTTATTCGATCATACGGTATAAGGAAATGGACTCCCAATCGGTAATATAAGAAAATTTATATTAACATTAAAAAATATGTACTTAAATTGAATTTTGGCTGTCTTGACTTGACGGTAATTATTTTGATTTAAGTCATTTTGCCGACTTAACTCGCAGATCATAATGATTTAAATAAAAAATATACATGTCATAAAAACGACTTAAATTACATTATATTGATTTAAGTCTTCACGAAAATGACTTGACTTGAAAGAAAATGATTTAAGTCAAAGACTTAAATCATTTCAACTTTATATTGAATTTGACTTAAGATTTAAATCATTTTGATTTTAGAAATGATTGAGTATTTTTAAAACTGACTTGTTGCAGCTCTGCTGTTGATTAATACAAAATATTTATTTCTGGACATTTACAATATACTTATATTAATTTTAATTATTATATATCAGTATTAAACCCACGTTTAGTAATAGTATATTGTTTTATTAGGAGTAAAAATCACATTTTTTGTATCGAGGCTGTACGTTTGACAGACAAGCGCCAGTCCAACGTACAGCTGAGGCACAAAAAGTAATATTTACTCCGAATAGAACATGCAGTTTTTTTTAAACGCCACAAATAATTTTTAAATAATTTCAAATGTTCCAAATGATAATTATATATCGAGAAATTATGGTTATGGCTCGTTGAATTTGACACTTTATGTCAATTTAATAATATATTTTCGTATTTTATGCTTAGGCGTAAAAGTGCTTTACTTTTATGCCTAGGCCAAGGATATATAGAAGGCCTAGGCTTTACGTTCGAAAAAAAAATGATTACTAAGAAACAAAACACAAAATCATAAAACTTTTTTTTACATATTTTTAAAATATTTTTTGATTGATCAAACCATAGTTTATTAGTACCTACATACGTCCACATTGTAAAAATCTATAACCATTTAAAACCACATTTAAATAAGACAAATGATTATTGCAGCATCAAATATTTCTATAGAAAATTATAAAATTATTTTAATATATGACTAGTTAACATCAGTTTCTTCTGTAGGACACTCTAGAATAATGATTTCTGTCTTTTTTATGCACTCTATAATTATCTCTATAGGGTTTGTAGTTTCGTGATGTTTCAAAAGTCTGGTTTCTATAATTTCTCCCTCTAGGTCTATATTTATTCTTATTTTGCCTATGATAAGCATTTCTAACCATTTGCTCATTAGATCTAGAGTTATTTCTTTGATTTATCACAGTTTTTTCCATACATATTTTTTTAAATAAAAATTTGTGCCTGTCATCTATAGCTTCAAGCATAGTTTTGTACATATTATCGCTAATTAAATGCTCAACATCAGCTGCAGCATATAATATCATTTCCTCTGTTAGTGGCCTTTCAGACCAATATTTTTGATTCCTCTTGTAAATATTTTTAATGTCTATTTTTAGGGGATTTGGGGGTACTCCGTAACACTCAGATATGAGATTCAATCCAGCTCTAAAATCCCCACCTCCACCATTTTGTTTAGTGATAATACCATGAGCTACTTGAGTATCAAATACACAATTAAGTTGTACTCCAAACTGATAAAAGAGATTAAGGACGTCATTTCGGCATGCCTGTACTACTTTGATAATATTATTATTCTCAAGAATGTCTTTAATCCCATTTTCCATCATCATATGACATTCTTGCACATCAAAAATATATATTTTCTCCTTTGTGACAATTTGAATCAGTGTTAACTCTCCTCTTTCACCCAAATTCACTCCCTCACAATCTAGCCCTATTACCTGTTTTTCCTTAACATATGGCCAAGAATCTTCTTCAATATTTGATGGTACCTTACAAAGAATGCTTTCTGTAGCCTTTTTGCAGTTATCTACATCCTTTATAATTGCAGTTTTGTTTAATAAATTAATTTTCCAGTTGGACATTTCTTTCTCATAAATCGTTGTATTCTGCTAAAAAAAGGTTGCTAGTAACTGTAGGAGATCGAACAGCAATGCAATATATAAATAGTAGCCTTGACTATATATATAAATAAAAATTACAAAAATAAGGAATACGGAATACCTAAGTATATACGACGTACGTAATGTGTTTAATGCACAGGTTCACACAGGTTTAATGTTGTCTCGAGACTAGAAGCAGAAAATAGAGTCATAGACAAAAATAAATTGGAAGGTCAAGGGCACACAAAAATGGATAAAAGGATAGGGTAAAAGATAAAGATAGAATCACTCGCAATATGCATATTTATGCATTAATTTATCATTACGTAATTATTATATTCCTATTTCCCTGTATCTATGATAATCGCAGAACACAAAAATACAATGCCGATAAACAAAAACATACAAAAACAAACGTGAAACAAACTAATAACTACTTGTTGGAGTTGATACTTGTCTCTCACTAGACACACTTTATTCGGCTAAAAAAGTTCTAAAAAGTAAAAAGGGCATTCTTTTTGATGAAAAACTTCTTCAAGTGTCTTTTTAGTGTTTACTTATGTTTACTGGTTTAGTCGTTTTGTCGTTTAGTGTTCTCACCAGCGTTGCCAATGGTCCAAAATTATATTCCACGGCGAACATACCCAAATTCCACAAAATTCCACAATCACTAGGTTCGGTCTTTAGGTCTGCGACCAGGGTTCGGAAAACTAAATGCTACTTTTAAAAACTACATAAACTACATTACATATAGTTAATGTAGTTTATTAGTTTATGTAGAGGTCCGAAGTACAGTGTTCTTATATGAATATATGATCTGAGGCGCATCGATTACTTTAACCGCTTTAACCAGACTTTAACCGTGCTTTAACTATGTCCATATGTCCATAACAATGGAAACTCTGTCGCGCTGTTGTTGTTTCATGGCAAGAGTGCCAAATTCTACTGACTGACTATTGACACTTGATACACCATCACACACTGCCCGTTTACGCCGCGCCGGTGCTGGTGTAAGGCCGGATGAGATCGGATATCTCGTGATCTCGTGATCCGCGTAAACAAAGTAGACTCCGTCCAGATTAGCCCTAGCAGCATATAGGAGACGTTAACGTCTCCTTTTTGACACGATGCCAAGGTCCAAGGCTAATCTGGACGGGGTCTACTTTGTTTACACGGAATCCGAACCGCGGTCCTTGGCCACATCATAGTCAAATGACCTAACGACTTGGCCAGTATAAAATCCATAAAGTAAATTTCTCTATGATCTAATCAACTCGTACTCACGATTATATCCGGCCTCAAATCGGCGTGGCGTGAATGAGCGTGTGTGTCAACAGATTTTTACACTCTTGACCTTTGCCATGGAAAAACAGTACAACAAAGTTTCCAGACGGTCACCGCTTACGTCGCTTAACTTGAGTGATCTCGGGGCCATAGGCCATTACAGGAGAAAGGAGAAGACAGGAAGAATAACCTCACTAATAAATAAGTAATTAGCTTGAATTAGATGGTAATTGGTAATTAATTAGTAATTATTAAAATATAAATAAAGAATAGAAATATGGCATAAATATGCAATAGAATAACATTTAGTTTTGTTAGCAGAAAGGAACTTTGAAGAGTATTAAGAAAGTGGTAAAGTTAAGTGCCAAGAATATATTTATATAAATATGCTACTTTCAATTAACAATGAGAACAAGCAACATCTAGAAATATTAACTTTTCAATCTGAATCAGGTAAACCTGCTATATTATTTATGGCTGTATGACGTGGTGTGTGCTAGGGTTCAGAACCGGGAAATCCCGGTACCGAAAGTACTGGAGTTCCCGGTTCTTTTGTGACATCAAAGAACTGGGAGTCGACATTATTAATTCCCGGTTCTTTCGGTACTTTCGGTACTCGGTACTAATAATTAAAAACATATTTTTTTTATGTGCGAAGACTTTTGATACTTTCTACTTTCTAGCGGTCAAAATCAAACTCTTCTAAATAAGTAGTGATTTGGTTGCAAAGTAGTGATTTGGTTGCGTTCTGAAGTTATTTTGCAGTTTCTATAATGTTTATTAGCAATTTTTAAAGTTTAAATATGTTATTTTATTATTTAGTATAATATTGCTAAATGTATTAGTTATATTTTTATATGTTGCATCTTTATTTGATTGATTGCATCTTTAGTTGGATTTTTTTTTTCAAATTTAGTTAAGTTTTGAGGTTGGTTAATGTTGTTTGATGTAATTTTTAAGCTACTTGTGTTTTCGTTTTTTTTTCGCTTGTGTTCATTATTTGTGTTCATGTTTACTTTCTCATGACTTAATAATTTGATATTTTTTCATTTGAACCTCAATTTTTTATCGCATTTTGAGAACCATCCCTTGCTTGCTAATTGACGAACTTCACAATTATTGAACGAAAATATTTTAGTACAGTTCTGGAAACTCTTAATTAATACTGCCAATTAGGGTTCAGATCTTTTTGGCCATCACAGAACCGGGTCTCGGTAACAATAATTAAAAAAAAATTGTTACATGAGAATTAAGAAAGTAATGATGCTATTTCTTATTGTTCTTGCTTCTTCTTTCTTTTGAAGTTCCTATGATATTTATTATATTATGCTTTAATAGATATTTGCATTTTTAATTCAATATTTTAGGCCCTTTGTCTCAAATTTAGTTAAGTTGGTTTATGTTGTTTGATGTGAAATTTAAGTTATCTATAAACCTATACTTTTTCTGTACCTACTTATGTTCATGTTAATTTTCTCATGACTGATTACTTAATAATTTGATATTACTTTCATTAAAAATCTCAATTTTTTATCCATTTTTCTTTGAAAAACCATCCCTTGCTTTCTTATTGATGAACTGCACCACCATTGAACAAAAATTAGTCAGTACCGAAAGTACCGAAAAAACCGGGAAATCCCGATTCCTAAGAGGCGCGGTACCGAAATTCCCGGTTCCGAAAAATAGCTCCGGTTCCGTAAACCCTAGTGTATGCATATTACCAAGTTAAAACTTTAAAAAAATTCAGTACTGTACAGTACGTCTGCTGGATCTGTGTCTATGAAAGGAATGCGGACAAAAAACATTTAAATAAACAGCAATATATTTCGTCAAAGTATACGTCACCGCAAATCGCTCCGCCCACTCATTTTATTGGCTACTTGCAAATTTGTCGAATTTTTATTGATGGGACGCGTCGTCTAATTTTTTGCGAAAAACATCGAGAGAATATCGTTTCCCCTCTCACGGATGCCCCGTAGCTACAGAACGGGCAGACGTACTGTATTTTTTACTTTTTTATAAAGAGGAAGAAAATTATTTCAGTCTAAAAAAATAATTTCTAGCTTCAAATTAGTTCATTTGCAACCTTTAAATTTATTTGTTTATAGTTATTGCTGATTTTTGTAAATTGACTTCCCAATTTTTGCACCATGGACCGAATCAAAAAAGATATGATACTGCAGCTCAAAAATTAGAGGTGGATGTTCATGTCATACAAAATTGTATATATGGATTGGTTCATTTATTAATGTTAGCATGCAAACATAAGGTATAATACACAGACGATATAATACTATTAAGCTTGTAGTACACTTAGCCGAACCGAAACAAAACGTGCAGAAGGGAAAAAATTCTGGCAATAAAAGGGTGTATTCAGTTAAGGGCTCGAACACACTGACGACCAGGTCGCACCGGCCAGGCCGCAGCTACCTCTAAAACCATTAAATCAAATGATATAGCATACGAGCACACTAACGTCCTTGCCGTCCGTTGGTCGTTGCGGCCAGAAGACTGCACGGAAATATTATTTTCTGCCGCTTGTTGCCGGTTTTCTTCCAAATTAATAATTTTTCAGATGAAATCCCTCAAATTCAAGGCACAATATTTTATTTTCTATAAGATATAGTGTTTTAGTGTAGTTTTTGCACACGTGCAGAAAATCCAAAGAAATAGTATAGACTGGATCAAAGGTAAACTTAAATCTAATTTTTTTATCAAGGGTCGATTCTAGTAAAAACTCAAAAACATTTTTATATGACATACCTACTCTATTTATGGTTGGTATGATACCTGTTATTATACCTTTGAGTTTCGATGTTAAAAAATAAAAAAAATAATATTTAAAGTTTTTCTACAACCACTTGTTTTTTTTATTAAATTAGTTTTTTTAGTTGTATTGTAGTCATGTACAGGGTGGGTCAAATTCGACGCTTTTAAATGGAAACACCCTTTTCTATAGGAGATAGGCAAAAACTAATATCGGTGTCTGGAGCTCAATTTTCATCAAAAAGATGATGGTGAAAACCGCATATCAATATCTGTTACCGTTTCGGAGTTACGGGGTGTTTTTCAAAAATGTGCATTTTTAACAAATCGCTGTAACTTTTTTGCTATGGAAAATTTTGTATTTTTATGAAAACATTTCCAAAGCACCTTTTTACGTAGAATTTAATGGTTTAAGTATATTTTTTTTTAAGTTAATAATTTAAGAGTTATCAACAGAAAAATTGATTTTTTATTTGGGACACCCTCTATGTTTTTAATTAACTGAAAAGAATTTAAAATTACCTTTCCAAAAATATAGCACACTTGATATTTTGTTATAATCCCCTTCGAAATACAGAATTTTTAAAAGTTTGCCACTTTTAACTAGTAGGCTTTGGACCCCTTATTGATGATATGCCCTTAATGGAACTCGAAAACATATTTTTCCAGCAAAACGACGCAGCGCCTCTGAACGCTGAAGTTATCATTTTTGCAGCCAATTTCAAGAATAATCGAATCCAACATCCCAGCCGTTGGCCGTCGAGGCCGCCTGACTTCGTGCCCATGGATCTAATCCTATGGATATATTTGCGGAAGAATAAAGGTTCCTTATTCTTCCGTATATAATCTAGACAAGAATTAAAAATACTTAACAGTTATAAGAGGGTATCTTTCACCCCCACTGAGTTAATGTTAATGCGAGAAATTTTCAAAAACTGCCCCGTCTGTCCATAACAGAAGACGATTGATATGTTGAACACCTGTAGCAAAATCTCATGTCTTGGTTTGCTATTTATTTTTATTGTTATTAGATATAGTTTAAATGTGTTGATGTTGGTTAAATATATTTTAAATTGTTATAAAATTCTGCATCTCTCATAGCAAATATTATTTTCGTTTTAATTGATGCTTGAGCTAGAATTTTTTTGCATTACAGCCAGTGCCGTTCATAGCCTACTTTTTTAAAGCGGGCGAATTTTTATATACTTTATATCTCGAAGAGGAATCGAGCAAAATATCAAGTGTGTTATATTTTTGGAAAGGTAATTTTAAATTCTTTTCAATAAATTAAAAATATACAGGGTGTCCCTTATAAAAAATCAAATTTTCTGTTGATAATTCTTAAATTATTAATTTTAAAAAAATTATACTTAAACCATTAAATTCTACGTAAAAAGGTGCTTTAGAAATGTTTTCATAAAAATACAAAATTTTTCATAGCAAAAAAGTTACAGCGATTTGTTAAAAATGCATATTTTTGAAAAGCACCCCTGTAACTCTGAAACGGTAACAGATATCGATATGCGGTTTTCACCATCATGTTTTTGCAAAAATTGAGCTCCAGACACCGATATTAGTTTTTGTCTATCTCCTATAGAAAAGGTTGTTTCCATTTAAAAGCGTCGAATTTGACCCACCCTGTACAAGGAGGACAACTGTATTTTAAATATTATATTTAATTTAACGTTTTTCAAACAGGGTTAATTAGACTATATTTCTACTAGGTACATTATTTTGAAAAACATTAAGAAAGTAACTTAAACATTCATAAAAATAGAAGTAATTACTGTTGTAGATTCTTCGTTATATTGTAAACATTGAAATAACTGGAAGCTAAACTTTCTACCTGCTTATATTTAGAGCCAGTGTCTGACGATCTATTTTTACGATGGCCCTAATATGTTTACTTCCAAAGTCGATAAGGGCGCCATATCAGTAGAAAAAAGAAACAGAATATCTCCCTTTTTGTCGGTCGCGCGTACACAATGCTTTTTGTTTGTTGTGAATAGCAACTTCGCTTTTTAATTAACTCGGATATTTTAACATTTCTGAAACAATATTTTCTAATTGGTAAAACGTAAAAAATCGTTAGATTTGACAACTCTGTTGAAACTGGTCGTTCATCTGGCCGCAGCTAAAAACGCAATACATCCGGCCAGCCGACGGCCAGGTCGTTGCGACCTGGTCGTCAGTGAGTTTGAGCCCTAAGAAGTGTATGCTGTATGGAAGAAGTACGGCATAGTGTGCACTTGATTTCAGTTCTGTTAAGTGCGCGACAAGCTTCAGAGCTCTTATCTTTTATCAAAAATATTGTATAGCCTGGTTAATTCCAGTTTTTCCATTAACCAAAGGTGTTATTAGATAGAATTGTAAAAGATAAAGTTAAAAATTTGGTAGCATTGTACCATGTCTTATTATATTTCAGCTTAGTGTCCATGATTTCAAAGATTCAGTTTTAGCATTAGGCTTTACCAATGAACAAGAATCAGTTCTTACCCATTTTTATGAATCACAACACAATGAATTACATTCCCTCATTAAGCCAAACTTAGATGAACCACACTACTATGACATGCAATGGAGATTTGAAGTACAAGTAAGTACACATTTGTAAATATTTAAGTAAAGTTGTTAAGTAATATTTGGCATTAAATCATAGAGCGTATATAACACTTTCTATTTTTTTACAGCTTGGTAGTCGCTCACTGTTGGAACAAGTAACTCCATTAGTAGTGATGAATTTATCTTTAAAAACAACTGACGGAAAGGAAAAGGAAAATATAGAGCATCACCTCATACAAACTGATCCAACAAATCTATTACATTTAACAAATGAGTTGGAGCGTGCCCTTTCTGAATCTAGAAGTCGTCACTCTAGAAAAGTTGAAAACATTATTAACAATCTCTAATTTTTTTATAAATGAAACGCAGTGATTTTTTACCCCTTTTTATTCTTATTACTATATTCATTAATATATACTTATTTACTTTTATGTTCAAAATTTTTCCAAATAAAAAAAGTATACATAAAAGTTTAGCAATAATTTAACAGGTATAAGAGAAAAAATCATTTAATCAGTCTTTGGTCCTACTTTGACTTTGCTTTGGAAAGTGCTTTCTTTCTTTGACCAAACATATACAGGTATAGTTGTGGAAAGACTAGAAAAAAAAGAAATAATTATTTAGATTAATTTATAATAATTCTGTTTATGAGATTTGTGAATCTAATATAATTGTTTTTAAATGTTATAGGTGAACATGATCACACAACACGAACATTAATTTTCATTTAAAAAAAATGTTTGTTTTGGATGTATGACAGACTTGTCAGACATAGATAAATGAAACAAGTTTAGATTGGAAAGTGCCCACAAGGACAATGTACTAAATCATAGAGAAATATAAATACTATTTGGCGCTATTTTTGCAACGGTCGCGCCCCAAAGCTTTTGATGAAGATTTCGGATCTGTTCGGCTTTTTCGGGAAATATGTCGCCAAATATTATTTATTCAAATTTATTATTATTTTCTTTTAATATTATAAATAAAATACAGTGTGTTGCATACAAGACAATTTTTGAAGATTCCGACTATAACATGAGAAAATTATTTCTGTTATTGTTTGGCGGTTGTTCTTAGCAACCGCTATAGCAGCACCAGATCGCGTACAACGGTTGCGACCCAAAACATTTATATATTTTGACGGGCATTCCAATCTAAATTTATTTCCTTTATCTATGTTGTCAGACAGACTTGTGTAATATTCTTCATAGAGCTATAAAAACCCGTATAAAAGAAAAAACGGAGTTAAGTTGGCTTAGAAATAAATGATTAGGTAATGACATTCACCATATAATTTTACATACAAAGTGTCGGCATGATAAGTGTCGGCAATCAACATATCCATCCAAGCCAACTCTGACGCCATATACCTAGTATTTTATTACAAATATTTTATGTAAGGTTGTTGCAACAGATATATACAACTGCAACAGATATATACAACATATGCAACTGTTTGTACAATGATGTGTACGTACCACAATACATAACTGTGATAAAGAAATGTTTTTATTATTGAAGTTAAACTTCTTTACGCACGCTGGGAGTAAAAATTTAAGGCCGTCACACACGAGCTAGCGTTACGCCATGCGTCACGAAAAGCGGTAATGATCGAAAAAGTGGTAAGCCAATGAGGAATTTGAGATGGTTCTTTGGAACGTCGTAACTGGGGCCCTATGTAAGCCAGGGGGCTGAAACTTGTAATATATGCTGTCCTCCATTCGCGAATTTCAAGTTCCAGAGCTTTACGCCCTGGGCTACTCAGAACGGGTCTGAAAGGAGCTGTGCGCGATAGCCTGGTGCCTCCAGATGGCGCTGAACAGTTCTGAACTTTATGACTCAGTTGAATGGAGTGAGAGTATCGCGTCCTTGAACAGTTCAGAGCTGCACAACTGCATGAATGGAGGACAGTAATAGAGGGGAGATAGGGTTCTTCGAGCCCTATCTTTTCATGGTATTTTGGCGACGTTTTGTGCACTATGAAACCCCATCATCAATGGCGAAAAAATATTCCGATTTTAAATAAAATTTCGTATGTCGATAGATTGGACCAAGGCCAACTTGACTGTGTAGGACGCATGTCATTGTCACAGTACTTTCGACGTAAGAAACGTCAAAACTTGATGTCCGATCATGACCAAATTTGGTGGGGAGGCTATGTGAGCCACGGTGCAGACGGTCCCACCCTGCAAAGTTGAATACGACGTATCGTTTACATCTTCATCAGGGTGGGACTAAGGAATTGATATTGAAGAAAAATGTGGGTCGATTTCGGCGAAATTGAGGACGGGCTACGGGGCTACAGGATGACGCCTTCGACGTTTCGAACCCATGCCTCTAAATAGACGAAATCATCAGGATTTTTCTTAATTATGGGTCGATTGGAACCAAACTCGGCACGTGGATAGATGTACTCGAATGGAGTCCTCAGATGGACAGACGGTCATTTTAATACAAATTTTGTGAAAGCGAATCAATTTATTCATTTTTAATTTATTACTGCACTTTTTCAAACATTCCCTTCAAATTCTTCAATTTAATAGCTGTTCGTAAGACGGTTCACTTCAAATAATTTGTTTTCCCTATAATCAATTTTTATCCAAATATAAACTATTTAATTTTTCGATATACTTACGAGGAATATATAATACCATCAGAAACCATAAAACATGCTGGTAATTAAATATTACATTGTATCGATTAGGCATATCAATACTGTAAAGCTGGTTCTTGCCTACTTCTTTCTGGGCAGCCCAAATACACAGCAACTCTCCAGTGACTCCAATTGGATACAGTACAATAAATGTTGTGTATCTAAAATAAATTATTAATTATTTTTATTATAACTTATTTGTTAAACCTGGTTTATACATAACGATTTTATGTACAGGGAGTCCCCTGAAAAAATATTTTAACTAAAGAGGCTATGAAATTGCTGGAAATTATTTTGAAGTTTGTAGAACGGCCGCTAGAGGGCGCAACTGCTATGGAAAATAATAAATTAGAATTTTTACAAAATTTTGCCTAGATAAAGGGTACTATAAATAATAGCCACATAGTCTTCAGTAAATTTTGGATTTTTTTGTTAGAACCATTTTCTCCTACCTGCTAAAATAAAGTGGTGGGGGGTCAGATGCCAAACGAGGGCTTGTTTAAAAGAGCGTTCCTTACTCTATAATAATAATAATAATAAGCTTATCAACGTAGACGCTAGGGGACGCTGTCTTACAATTTAACAAACATTGCGCGTTTTTTTTTTCAAAAAAATTAAATGCGATAGTATATAAAAAATTTCTATACCTATGTGGCGGATTCATCTCTCCAAAAAAAAATCCTTTATGAGTATTTCGCCACTGCACTGCAAGAAAATCTACAAAATAAAATAGTTATTTTTTGTAAACATTTCTGCGTTAATCCAAACGGAAACTACTTCTCAGAAGTTAGGTTTACAGATATACAAATTTGCCTAACGAACAAAAAAATGCTTAACGTTTCGGAAAGTTTATCTCTTTCCGTCGTCGGAAGCAAAAAATAATCGACAATATACCAAAACACCAGATGTATTAATATTTTTTAGTAATTAAGATTTTAATACAATTTGACATTTGTACTATTAACCAAAAAAAAAATTGTCAAAAGCAACTTTTTTCCAAAACTTACCATGACTTCACAGCGGCTTTGTTTCTTGTTCACTATTATTAACATCTAAATTATTAGATATTAATACATCTGGTATTATAGTATTCTGGTATATTGTCGATTTTAATATAAGCTGATCGTTTCTATCTTATTTTTTTTATTATAATTGGCATAATCAAGAGGGCTACTGATACTAATGATGGGATCACACGAGCGTATTCGTTCGAGTACTCGATTATTGAAATAACCGACATTCATAAACGAGTAGTGTTGTAAGTGGAAATGGAAATATTGGAAATTTCCAAACGTGTCTCGGAAATATTGGGAATATTGGAAATATTTTTAAAAATACTTAAATCTTGTCATTAACGATTCAAACCCGATGTTTATTAATATATCTTTCATATTTTGTAACCCTATAAACATTGAACTTACTATAGAACAGTTCTGCAAACATATAATATGAATATATCGAGTTTGAGGATTCACCAACTTATTTGCAACGTCGCATTTCTACGGGGAAGTCCCGAGCTCGTAAGTCGTAGCGTAGTAAAAACTCGCTGGTCTTCAATTTTGACCAATTTAAAAAGTGTATACAATACTAGGCTCAGTTTACAAGGAGTTGCAGTTACTCAAGAAGCAACACAAATGATTGATAAAAATGTTAAGCAGTGGATATTAGATGACGAAGTATTTTGGGCCCAAATTTCCAACGTAATTAACATTTTTGAACCTATTGGCAAATGGTTAAAAATTGTAGAAGGAGATTATAGCACTATTCATTTTGCTGTAAAAGCATTTTGTGATATTAGAAGGGTAATTCAGAATAATCTTGCATTGTCCTCACTTGACGAAAGTAAAAATCCGAATTGTTGGAGTTTGTTGACAAAAAAGAAAAATTTGCTATTAAACCCATTCATTATGCTGCAGAATTACGAAATCCAAAATCACAAGGTTCTGAACTTGATGAAACCCAAATTCTTTCTGCCATAGAATGCATATACTTAATATATCAAAAAATAAACTCAATATAAAGGAGCAAGAAATAATAGATGAACTAGCAGATTACTGTTGTAGAAGAGGCAAGTTATTTGGAAATAACTTCATATGGAAAAGTAGTTTTGATAACCCAGTCTCCTGGTGGAAAGGACTGTGTTCTTCATCTTCATTATCACAAGTAGCTTCACGAATGTTGATGATGCCAGCATCTTCGGCTGCCACAGAACACAGTTTTAGCGTTTATAGTCATATTCATTCAAAAAAGAGAAACAGGCTTACTAATGATAGAGCCGCTAAGCTACTCTATGTATCCCACAATGAAAACTTGCTGAAGAAAATAGGAAACGGCAATAGATCAATTTTTATTTCCGATACTATTGAAGATTTTGAGGAAGTAGACTGGCAAGAAGATGTTATTGAGTGTTATGCTGATGACAGCGATAAAGATATGCCTCTTGCTCGACTAGTGTGTCAAAAATAATTTTTGTACAAATTTATATAACCTTAATTTATTTTTTAATTTGAAAAATAACTCTTTTTTTATGTTTATGTATAAGCATTTTGTGTTTTGCGATGTTTTGTTATGATTTTTATAAATACTACAACTAGTTGAAGCCTGGCGCATCCGTCACGATATCAGGAAAGAAAATACTTCCTAATCCGGCGACGACAGTTTTTAGAAGAGCTAATTAGCTATCTTTTAGTACAAAATCAACTTTCTAGAGCAAGTCGTTACTTCAGTAGAGACGACACAGATAAACATTAGCATTTTATATATGTAGATATTTCAATTTTTCTTATTTTTTAAATATTTCATATACCGGGTGCGTCTCGAAAGTGGCTCACCCCTATAACTTTTTTATTTCTTCAGATAAAAAAACGAGATTTGGTATGTTAGTATATGATATAAATTAGGATTAATTGACGTATTCAATTGTTTTTGGTCACTTCCTGTTTCACCGGAAATGACTACAACTTTTGATTTTTAAATGGCACCCTCGGTATTTTTTTATTTTATTCGATAGAAAATGACATTCTGAATAGAATGACATATCATATGTCAACTTTTGACATTCTCGCTTAAAATAAAATTAAAATTTAAAATTCAATCTAGAGTGCCATGGTTATGTTAAAAATACTAATTTTTAATCAAGGAGCCTTGGAAAAATAGATTTGATTGTCTAATGTTTTTAGTGTCTTGTCCTGGCCAGTTAGAAAATGATCAAATCGTATTTTTAATCATATTTCAATTTTTTCAAACGGAACGAGGGTGGCTCATTAGCATATTTGGAAAAAGTATTTTTTTACGAATAATTTGGTACCACACACTTGGTATTTCGAGTCAAATTTTCGTTACGAACCGCAAATTATAATTTCAAATAAACTATATGCGAAAATGTCAAAAGCTGACATATGATATGTCATTCTAAAGTAAAAAAGTACCGAGGGTGCCATTTAAAAATCAAAAGTTGTAGTCATTTCCGGTGAAACAGGAAGTGACAGAAAACAATTGAATACTTCAATCAATCCTAATTTATGTCATATACTAACATACCAAATCTCCTTTTGTTAACTCACACACAACACTTTTGAGACGCACCCGGTATTTCCAATATTTCCGAAAATATATTTCTGGAAATTTTACATCACTATAAACGAGCGATGCAAGTGACGAGTTACGAGCGACAAACGCAAGTGATCTTAAAATGAAATAAATTGAAATCCGATTTTAATGTGACATACTCGATAAAAAGTCGAGCGAATTTTCTACATACATTGCAGGTAGCAAATTTATACGTTATCCGTTGCGTATCTGAGTGACAATGTTTTACGACCTACATCGACAATGCTTTGAAATAACCTTAATCAAGCGAATACTGCTTGGCGTTACGTGTACAACAAGCGACGGGCGAAAAACCGTATTTTTAAATACGAGCGATATTTCGCTCGAGCGATATTGAGACTCGAGTACTCGATTATTGAAATTAATCGGTTTCCCCCATCACTAACTGATACCCTGTTATGAAAATAAGGTAATTAAGGGCTTATTTTTTCGTATTTACTATAATTTTGCTAATATTTTCCGTTTGAAAGAAGATATCAAGATGCGGTTTTCGCTGATTTTTTATGACTCAAAATAACATATACTATCGCATTTATTTTTTTTTGGAAAACGCGCAATGTATGTTAAATTGTAAGACAGCTCCCCCTAGCGTCTACGTTCCAAAGCTTATTATTATTATTTTTATGGTGTAATATAGAGCAAGAAACGACCTTTTAAACGAGCCCCCGTTTGTTGGATTCTGATCATCCAGTCCGGAGTTATTAACATTTAAATAGAAACAGATCTAACCTTCCCCACCACTTTATTTTAGCAGATAGAGGAAAATGGTTCTAACAAATAAAATACAAAATTTACTGAAGATTATGAACCTATTATTTATAGTACCCCTTATATATAGTCAGTACTCTAGAGGGGGGGGGGGTACTCTGTCAGGGTAAATACAAAATTGAATTTACGATAACTTTTATTTAACTGACAATTTTCCAACGTTAAATCAATATATTTGCCTACAATAGCAGTAGTATTTCGAATTCTACATACAGGGATCAAAATGTCAAGAAATCAATATTCAATAATATAGTGCGTATATTCAGATTTAAGTTGGGAACAGATGTTTTAAAATCATTTAAGTACAAAGAAAAGAAGGTAATTAAAGGAAAAATCAAGGACGTTTCATCATCTGCACCACCTATTTAATTAGCTCTGGCACACAATTTTTTTATAAACTTTGTCTATACTCTACCTATATCAAACAGTTTTCGAAATATTTGTATACTACATTATTCTACTGCTAAAATGCTATTTTTTCATTGACAAATACATAGGTCTTTCTGTTTAGAAATAATAGATTCAAACTGGCCGAGAACTCTCCTTAATAGACTTTAAATAACTCTCCTTTATAGATATCTTACCTTAAATATTTAAGTACGAATGGTACGGCATAAACAAGGTTGAAAAAGTAATTCGAATATCGAATAATTTCCGTTATGGACCATGCCAACAGGGCTAAAGGTAATCCTAGACCCACTCTTGCACTTTCCGTTGCCAAAAGGACTCCACACACTACTACCACTCTGGAAGCTACCTGGAAAATATATTTTTATAATTATTCTAATCTCAATAGTTTATTCGATATTTTTGGTTCTCTATATCGGGTGCGTCTCGAAAGTGGCTCACCCCTATAACTTTTTTATTTTTTCAGATAAACTAACGAGATTTAGTATGTTAATATATTACAGTTGGGGGTTGGGCCCTTTGGAATTATACAGTAAAATAAAACACTAAATCACCACAACACACCAACACTTTTACACTAAACTTCTAGTTTTAATCATCTGCTGATGATGCTAACATGGTTAGCGAAACGCGCGTCCAGTGTAAAAGTAAAAGTGTTTTGGTGTATTGTGGTGATTTAGTGTTTTATTTTGATATTAATATATGACATAAATGAGGATTGATTGACGAATCCAATTGTTTTTTTGGTCACTTCCTATTTCACCGGAAATGGTACACCTCAAATGGCACCCTCGGCATTTTTTTAATTTATTGGATAGAAAATAACACTCTGAATAGAATGACATACCATGTCAACTTTTGACATTTTACCTTTAAAAAAAATGTATTTTAAATTTCAATATAGTGTCATCAAGGAGCCTTGGAAATATAGTTTTGATCGTTTAATATTTTTCGTGTCTTGTTTTGGTCGGTTAATAGATACCCAAATCGTATTTTTAATCATATCTCAATTTTTTCAAATGGAACGAGGGTGGCATATTTGGAAAAAACATTTTTTTACGAATAATTTGATACCACACACTTGGTATTTCAAGTCAAATTGTCGTTCTGAACCGCTTGTTACAATTACAAATAAACCATATGCGAAAATGTCAAAAGTTTGACATATGATATGTCATTCTATTCAGAGTGACATTTTCTATCGGATAAGGCAAAAAATACCGAGGGTGCCATTTAAAAATCAAAAGTTGTAATCATTTCCGGTGAAACAGGAAGTAACCAAAAACAATTGAATGCGTCAATAAATAACATACAAAATCTCGTTATTTTATTACACCCGGTATACTAAACAGGGTAACTTAAAGAGTTACAAAGCAGTATTTGTAATTTATTTAATTTAAAGAAATTTCAGATAAGTAACGTAGCTGTATTAACTTTAACCCGAGTCATTCCCCAGCCGTCTGTGACGCCGTTTTTTTTTTTATTATACGGTATTAATTTGGTGCTTATTGTGGCGGTGCAGCTTAAAATAATCATTATAAAAGAGATATTTTTTGTAAAAACATCAATTTTGCATATAAAAATTATTAATCAAACAATTAATAACAATTGACGGTTTACTGTAGAATTTTATTTAATACAATTTACTTCAATTATAAACTAACTAAACGGAGTCTCTTTTTTGAACAAATCATGGAAAATATAAATTTTATTTTATGGATAAACATGCGCTCACTGTTAAGAATATATGTAATTTGATTTCCTTTTTGGTTTAATAAAACAATATAATTTTACAACTTAATCGATCAATAAAATGTTTATACAAATTTTATTTTACTTACTAGCGTGTACCAGCGACCTCGTTCGCGTCGAATTAATCATTTGTAATGGTGCAAAGCAAAGCGAGAATTTCCATTAACATACAAACTGGATTAAATTTTCTCACATTTATGTCAGCATGAGAAAAAACAATATGGCGATATTAATATATAACTTGGTAATATTTGAGGGGTAGTTTCATCCCCTTGGAATTTGACTTTCGAAAAATCCGTTTGCCAAAAATAAGCTTTTTACGTCAAGCAGTTTAAGCAGATTCGTGGTTGAGAAATTACCCAAATTTTTGGACACCCTGTATGATTTTTTAAAAAATTTCAAAATATGTAAAAAAAACAAATAAATTATGCTTGTCCAAGCGTTTTCCCGAAAGACTAACCGTTTTTTAAATAACAAATATTGTAATATTTGAGGGGCGTTTTCGCCCTCTTGGAATTTGAGATTCAAGAAACCCCTCCTTATCGAACCTCTACACCCCACAGTCAATCCGTTTGGCAAAAATCTGCTTTAAACGTCAAGCAGTTTAAGCAGAATCGTGATTACTCAATGGTCATATTTTATGAAACACCCTCTATAAATTTAAAAAAAAACCTTAAAATGTGTAAAACAACAAAATAAAATATACGTGTTTCAGAGTTTTTCCGAAAAACTCACCAGTTTTTAAATAAAAAATATTTTAATATTTGAGAGATAGTTTCGCCCCCTTAGAATTCGAGTTTCGAAAAATCCCTTCTTATCGAACCTCTACACCCTAAAGTCAATCTGTTTTCCAAAAATCAGCTTTTTACGTCAAGCGCTTTAAGCAGGATCGTGATTAATCATGCAATGACCAGATTTTTCGAAACACCCTGTATACATTTTTAAAAAATCTTAAAATATGTAAACAAACAAAATAAAATATACCTACGTGTTTAAGCGTTTTTTCGAAAACTTGACCGTTTTTTAAATAAAAAATATTGTAATAGTTGAGGGGTGGTTTCACCCTCTTGGAACTGGAATTTCGAAAAATCCCTTCTTATCGAACCTCTACACCCTAGAATCAACCTGTATGCCAAAATTGAGCTTCTTACGTTGAGTGGTTTGAGCAGGATCGTGATTAATCAGTATGTCAGTCACTTAAGGATTTTATATATTAGTATAGATTGTTTAAAATCAGGCGACTGATTGGTATTCCAGTAAAATATTTTCTTTCTAAAAGAATTATTGATAAAAGCTAACAGTTTAATGAACACCCTTTCAGATTTTAACCATTTTTCGTATATACTGTTTTTAGTCAAAGATTCAGTAAGATTCACAAAATGGGGGTTGCAAATGGAAAAAATACATCAATTTTCTGGGACACCCTGTATGCCAGTGGCGGCTCGTGACCCGTGTGACTGGGTAAGCGACAAAATTTTAGTTGTGTCTATTTGCCCCCCCCCCCCTTTTATTTCTGTGGCGTGTTCTGAAATATAACCGGTTATATCACTTTTAATAAACTCGGACAAGCTCGAAAAATGTTTCCAATTTGCTTTAAACGTTTTTTGAATTTTCATATAAAAAAGTTTTTAATGCTATGTATATCATATGAAATACCCCTTAACGAAATGTGATATATCCCCTTATGAAATATCGGGGATATCCCCTTAACTTCTAAGCTAACCGAGCCTCCACGACTTGATGCAAAGGCAACCGGAAATTTCGCCTAAGCCCCGCCTTAACTTAATACGATACAACTCCGACTTACGTCGCGTCGCTACCGCGCTATGAGTTAGATAGAGACAGAAGACTGCCGTACGTCGTACAACGACTCTGATAGTAGGCGATGTAGAAATCGCCGAACAAAGGCTTTCCAACGGTCAAAATTATTTTGTTTTCTAACGCAGCGGCACAGACAGCGTACGCCAGCTGTAGTGAATATTTTAATATAGAAGACCACAAATATTAAAATAATATTGATTATTAAAACACACTTCCGTGTATTAACAGTATTTTTATGTATTGGCAACATCAATAGTAAATAATGTAATGTAATAAACCGCTTAAATTCTGCCAAAATCTTAAGGTAGGCACCGCCTACCTTGCCTACCCTGACGAGCCGCCACTGCTGTATGCAACAAAATATTTTAGGATATGCACCTTTATAAATCGTGCAACGTTTATATTTTTTTTCATATCTTTGTCAAAAACGACGATGTTGAACTTTGTTGGACTTCCCGGGCCACCCTGTATACCGGGTGCGTCTCAAAGGTGGCTCATCCCTATAACTTTTTTATTTTTTCAAATAAAGAAACGAGATTTGATAAGTATATGACATAAATTAGGATTGATTGACGTATTCAATTATTTTTTATCACTTCCTGTTTCACCGGAAATGACAACTTTTGTTTTTTAAATGGCGGTACGTAACAACAATCTGACTCGACATACCAAGTGTGTGGTACCAAATTATTAGTAAAAAAATGCTTTTTCCAAACATGCTAACGAGCCACCCCTGTTCCATTTGAAAAAATTGAGATATGAATAAAAATACGATTTGGGTATCTTTTAACCGGCTAGGATAAGACATAAAAACATTAGACGATCAAATCTATTTTTCCGAGGCTCCTTGATTAAAAATTAGTGTTTTTAACAGAGCCATGGCACTTGTATTTTAAATTGAAATTTAAAATTCTATTTTTTTTAAAGAAAAATGTCAAAAGTTGACATATGATATGTCATTCTATTCAGAGTGTAATTTACTATCGAATAAAGTAAAAAAATGCCAAGTGTTAATCATAACCATTTAAAAATCAAAATTTATAGTAATTTCCGGTGAAACAGGAAGTGGCCAAAAAGAATTGAATACGTCAATCAATCCTAATTTATGTCATATACTAGCATACTAAATCTCGTTTTTTTATCTAACAAAATAAAAAAGTTATAGGGGTGACCCACTTTTGAAACGCACACGGTATATGAACAAAATATAGAAGGTAATCTTTTAAAAAAAATTGGCATAATGCTGACATTCGGTTAAAGATATTCACTTCCAGTTGTACTGGAGTTGATTATCAATTACTTTTACTGAAAAATATGAATTTTGATGATCTATATTTTGAAACTAAGTTTTCTATTTCGGCGCTTTAAAAATGGCGGATTGAGCAAACTATTCTGTTGTCATCAGGTAAAATATGCTTTATTATTTATAAAACGTGTATCACAACAAATTACTAAAATCCCTTGTCCTCCAACTAACCTTGTATAATAAAATAATTCTCAAATTTTAAATAAAACTGAATATTAAGTAAAATGAAGAATACGCTAATTTATTTACATATAAATAATTCTTATACGTCACAAAAGAAACCGGTTAAATTCAAAAATAATTAATTACTATTCAGTTTTATTAAAAAAAAAATAAACATCTCGATTTATTAATGCAAGTCATTAAATAAATATAACAATAAACATTTTCATAACATTCAAAGCCTTAACGTTTCCATTCTTAATGATAGTAAACATATTGACAACGTCACTTAATTACGGTCCATGTGCAGAATATTTTTTTTAAGTTTTTTGGTATTTAATCTTTTAAACAAAATATATTTAAGTATTATTTAATAATTCTTTTCAATGCCTCTACTTTTTATTAATAAGCGCGCAGCATTTAAAAGAACAATTTATGTATTATACTATCTAAATAATTACAGAAATTGCGTTTCTTTTAATTAATTCGTCCATTCCTGTTTTTACTCGTATCAAATTGTTTTAACTTGAAATCACATTGCTAATTTTGATTGCTTTAACATCAAGATGGAATAAGTTACACGAGCAAAACTACAGATTTATTAAAATTGTATTGAATACAAAAGCTCAATAAAAAGTCATTTGAATCAGAATGAATTTTGGAATAGATTTATTTGCACTATTTTTTAAAATTATTTCGGTATCAATGTTGTGTTTATAAATAAAAACTCTATATGTTGAATGGTTTTTGAATTATAGTATATCGACAATACAATGTGTTTTTTTACATACATATTTGGCTAAAGTAATTAATCACTTGTCAGTGCCTATGTATTCTACAAAAAGGAAAAAGCTTATACCACGGTGGGGGTTTAGCTCTGCGTTCCCTTCACTGTCGAGGAGCTTGTCTACGGCTGAGGTACCCGTGAGGTGGAGGCTGGAGGATCTGTCTCCATTTTCTCCACCTCTAGCTTGGTCTCTCCTTTGAACTGATATTGGTGTTGGCTCGAATGTATAATAGAGAATATATTTATCTATCTCTATCGCCTCCTTGGATTTGAGGTCAAATCCTACTACTGATAACCTGACCATGTCCCTCCTCTCTAGAGTCGATGACTCGCCAACTATGTCCTTACATTGGAGTTACTACCTTATGGTACGTATACATTGGTGCGCTGCGCCGCGAACGCGTAGCGCGCGCCGAGCATTGACCGCGCGTTACTTTTATCGTTACAACGCGTTCACGTTCACCGCCGTACCTATATGTAGTGAGCTATCCTGTAGGTATACATAGGTACAAATTAAAAATGTGAATTATGTATACCGAAAAAAAAAACATTATGAAATATTTGCCTACAATATTTAAACTTAAACAATAAAAATGTATACATATGTACCGGGTGTACCACTAAGAATAGCTCTCGGCTGTATCTCGGAAAGTATTGGCCGTAGGGCTGCCGGAAAAAAATATTTATAACTAAAGGGGCTATGAGAAATTGCTGGAAATTATTTACAAGTTTGTAAAACGGTCGCTAGGTGGCGCAACTGCTATGGAAGATAAGAAAATAGATTTTTTACAGAATTTTGCCTAGATAATGGGTACTATAAATAATAGCTTCATAATCTTGAGTATATTTTGGATTTTTTTTGTTAGAACCATTTTTCCATATCTGCTAAAATAAAGTGGTGCGGGAAGGTTAGATCTATCTTTATTTAAATGTTAATAACTCCCGACTGGATGCTCAGAATCCAACAAACGAGGGCTCGTTTAAAAGAGCGTTTCTTACTCTATATTATACCATAATAATAATAATAATAATAATAAGGTTTTGAACGTAGACGCTAGGGGGCGCTTTCTTACGATTTAACAAACATAGCGCGTTTTTTCAAAAAATTAAATACGATAGTATGTGCTATTTTAGCTGGTAGTAAAGAGTAGTAAAAGCTTAAAAAGTCAGCGAAAACCGCATCTTGATATCTTCTTTCAAACCGAAGATTTTAGCAAAATTATAGTAAATACCAAAAAATAAGCCCTTAATTACCTTATTTTTACAATACAGTATAAGTAGCCTTCTTGATTAGGCCCATTCTAACATAAAAATAAGATAGAAACAGTTAGTTTATTTTGAAATCGACGAAATACCAGAATACCATAATACCAGATGTATTAATATCTAATAATTAAGATATTAAGGCTTTGGAAAAAAGTTGCTTTTCGCGTAATAGTATAAATATCAAATTGTTATTAGATCAACATTTTGATAGTCTTAGCAGCGTTTTTTTATCTTTTGATTGCTTTTTCAAAATGCCAACAACTTCAACTACTTCAAATAATAAAGACAAGCTTCCTCCGACTGTTCCAACAAGGAGCAAATCCTTCTTGGAACAGTCGGAGGTATCTCCGTACTCCTCCTCCTTGAGATCTAGTCTCAGCGGATCGTCTAGCCTGCCTGGTTAACCCAGGCCGGGTGGAAGAAACTTTAGCCTAGACTAGCTTTGTCTAGCCTGTTGGGTCTAGAAGTAGGCTCCAGACCCTTACTAGAAGAGGCGGTAGCTTCTGTGCCACTTGTGCAGGCTGGTCTCGCACAAGTGTCAGCTGTCCCTCCTGTAGTTCCCTTTTCGGTTGGTCCCTTCACTGTTAATGTTCTGTGTTGCTAGGGGGTCCAGTTTCACCACAAGGGTTAGTCTGTCCACTTCTACAGAGCCCTGAATGTAGAAGTAGGGGATACATGCAATATGGGGTATCCCCTGGTGCCCCCGTTGAGATCAGTAGAGGGTTTAGTTTTTTTTGGTGAGGTTGTCTTCTCTTGGTCCGGGCTGTTAAGCCAAGACCCCCCAGACCCTCTGTCCAAGTAACATGACCACAGACAGTAGAAGGTGCCTGGTATGACAGACATGGCAGTCCCATCCGGCATCGTTATATGTCTTGGTGCAATTCCATGGCCAGGACACTATAGCCAGAGATAAGACAGCGAGGTGTTCCTTAGACCTAGTCAAAGTGCTAGAGAGGATTCCTCCTAGCACCTGACTACTATACAGGAGAAATTATAATTTAATTAATTCCTACTCAAATTTAAAATGTGTTCTGAATTTTTCAAAAAAGTTAAATGTCAACAAAGGTAGGGGGCCAAAAAACTTATTTATATCCTTGAAACCTTGACATAAGCTTTAATATAAATCTAGTATAAATTTCATTCTATTGTGAAAAAGGAAGTGAACAAAACTAATTGAATACGTCATCTCATCATACAATTGAATACATTGAATCAAACCTCATTTACAGTACGTCTACTGGATCTGAGTCTATGATGAAAGAAATGCGGACAAAAAACATTTAAATGAACATCAATATATTTTATAAATCCCTACCTAAATAGAAGCGGCAGAAAACACCGCCCACTCATTTCATTGGCTAATCAAAGAATATCGTTTCCCCCCTTACGGATGCCCCGTAGCTACAAAACGGATAGACGTACTGTACGTCATATACTATCATACCAAATCTCGTTTTTATCTGAAAAAAAAATAAAAATGTTATAAGGGTGAGCCACTTTTGAAAAACACCCGGTATATATGCCACAAAAAATTAATTCCCATAAAAATTGTCGTTTTTATTAAATAGATCGTGTCGTATGAGGGGCACCACCCTGTACAAATATAAACAAATAGCTATCGTAAAATTTAAAAGAGAAAGAAAAATAAACAAACCTAACGTACATCATATCATGTTATATTATCTGTGTATTATGACTAAAATTTTCCGTTACCTGGAAGGCCGTCATAACGGCACTTGATTTAACAATCCCAGTGGCGGCGTGGATTACTTCTAATACTGCAGCATTTTGAAAAATGTAAAGTGAATACTTAACCGAGTCATACAGACTTTTTGACTGTGGATTAACATAATAGAGTATAAGTTGAACTAGAAGGCGCATCCATCTAGAATTAATACACAGCTATTAATATTATTTACAAAGAATGTCAAGTTTCTGTAAAAAACATGTAACAGTAAACCATTGAATAAAGAAAAATAATGAAGGAGTTAAATACTATTTTTATACAGAGTGATTCACTGCCATGGTACGTTAGACGTCATGAAGAACCGGTTATAGGATGTTTTTAAAAATTGTTTTTTGGATTTTTGTATAAAGGCATCTGCTTCATCTGTCTAAATTTAAAACAGTGTTGCCACTTCATCCTAAATTTGGTATCTTTGTTATTTTAAATGGAACACCCGGTATATTCTTACATTTTTCGAAACTAGTGATGGGTTGTTATTTAACTATCTGTTATTTTATAACAATTATTTATAAATAACATAACGCAACCGTTACTACTTCTTAAAAATAACAGATATAAAATAACGACACGTAGAGATCGGCAGCTCGTGAAACGAAAAACGAAGTCAGCGCTCTGCACCGCCACGAAATTCTATGCTGCTCGAAGCAATTTCAAAAAACAACTAGTATGGATGGAAAACATGTTATTTCGTCAACCATCGATACAGGCGGCGAGACAACGGACAACGGAGTGGCGAATGCGCTACGGCGAACGTAGCTGCTTCGGTCGATACCGTCGATGGTCGTATTGGGTTTGCAACAGCTTAAAAATAATAGGATATAAAAGAAGCAGGTTTTTTGAAACAGTTGCGGGCATAACGCCTGGCGGTCGAGATAACAGGAGTGGGAAAGGAACGCTGCTGCATCGGTCGATTGTCGATGGAGGCTCGCAACGGGTTGGAGAAGCAGTCATTTTAGATACGTTGTTTTTCAACCTGTTACGAGCATAACAGGGCGGTGGTCGAGATAATCGGAGTGGGAAAGGAACGCTGCTGCATCGGTCGATTGTCGATAGAGGGTCGAAACAGGTTGGAGAATAACGCATCAGTTATTTTAGATACATTGTTTTTCAACCTATTACGAGCATAACGGGCGGAGGTCGAGATATTATGGCGCTGTATGTTTCAGTACTTACTTATTAAGTTTCAATATTTAGGTATTTATTTATTCTGAAAATTTTTCAGAATAATATTTTAAGATTTTTTAAAAATGTATACAGGGTGTTTTGAAAAATCTGGTCATTGATTAATCACGATCCTGCTTAAAGCCCTTGACGTAAAAAGCTGATTTTTGGAAAACGGATTGACTTTAGGGTGTAGAGGTTCGATAAGAAGGGATTTTTTGAAACTCGAATTCTAAGGGGGTGAAACTACCCTCAAATATTAGAATATTTTTTATTTAAAAACCGGTGAGTTTTTCGGAAAAACTCTTAAAACACGTATATTTTATTATGTTGTTTTACATATTTTAAGATTTTTTAAAAATATATACAGGGTGTTTCATAAAATATGACTACTGAGTAATCACTATTCTGCTTAAACTGCTCGACGTTTAAAGCTGATTTTTGGCAAACGGATTGACTGTGGGGTTGAGGTTCGATAAGGAGGGGTTTCTCGAATCTCAAATTTCAACAGGGTGAAAACGCCCCTCAAATATTACAATATTTGTTATTTAAAAAACGATTAGTCTTTCGGGAAAACGCCTAGACACACATAATTTATTTTGTTTTTTTACATATTTTGAATTTTTTTAAAAAATCATACAGGGTGTTCCAAAAAGTTGAGTAATTGATTAACCACGATTCTGCTTAAACTGCTCGACGTTTAAAGCTTATTTTTGGCAAATGTGAGAAAATTTTATCCAGTTTGTATGTTAATGGAAATTCTTGTTTTGCTTTATCATCACCATTAGAAATTATTAATTCGACGCGAACACGCTAGTTTAAGTGTAAAATTAATTCGAGCTCTAGTGTGTAGTTGATTTACTTATGAAGAATATACTACACATTTTCTTATATTGCTATTTTTTGACCGCAAATGGTAAAATCATTACTAAGATCTTCTCGCCCGTCGAGTGAGATGCACCCTGTACATGGCAGGGCGTAGGTAGATGGGAATGTATAGGTATAGACGAGTGGCGGAATTTTGGCTTTTTTTATATCGCAATTTGTAAACAGCGCTTATTTGTAAACAACCACCGTTTTTAGAGAGGTATTTTAGATAACAATCGATATATTATTATATAGTTTTGACACCCTGGAAATACTACCACCGAGCACGTCATTGTTGCAACTTGCAACTGCGTTAATACGCCTGGCGGTGACCGCCTCATACTCTTTCAGATATTTAGCAGTAAAATAAAGAAACCTGTTATTTTTAAGCTATTATTTTAAGCTGTTTTTTATAAATAACTATAACAACATTTCAACTGTTATCTAAAAATAACAGTTTTGCCCATCACTATTCGAAACTACTTTCATATCTCATAATTTTTCTGTTATACTAACCTATGCCTATCTCTAATAGTTTTTATGATAAAAAATAAAACATGTGTAACATTGACAAAAACATGATTTTGAAAAGCATTGCTTAAAATACAAATTCGGCATGTTGAAAGCTAAAATTTGGTTTATATGTTAAGGAACGTCGACATATCCGATCTCTTGATCGGATCTGTCTAAATCAACTCATTGGATATCAAACAGAGTTAGGTCAGAAAAAAATAATTATTTCTGTTTGTTATAAAATCGTTCAAATTATTGTTATTTTAAATTCAATATATATATATTATTTAACAAATTGAAACCCAAATAAAATTACTTTTCAACGATATGTTCCTATACCTAAACCTTCTGGTTTCTTCAGTAAAGCTATTTAAAAGATAACAGAGCACTTTTTATAGTTTTTTAGAGTCGACGAACTGTTTCCACCATTTTTGGACTAAAAAATTTGGTATTAGGGTATAACACAGACAGTTCTAGAACTAGACAAAAACAGTTAGAATTAAATTCGGACTTTCTTCTGTTAGTGCTCTAACTTAAAAAAGTTGTGTTTTAGTGTGGTTTTAGGTTTTTACACTCCAACTTTGAATAAGAAGCACTCCAACTAAATATTTATGCGATGTCAAAATTTGTCAGAGATAAGGTTAGCGTTCGGCTTTCTTACTTCGAAGCCCTAAAAAAGTCCGAGAACGGTTCTTGAATTTAACCACTGTGCATGTAGTTCTGCGCATTCTCAGAACGATTCTAGGACAGTTCTCAAAAACGAATTTTTTATTTTTATCACTACGATTACATAAATATGGACATGTACTTCTTCACAAATATGAAGACAATATTTACTCTTCCTTCCATTTTTAAGACTATTGTGTGTGATATCTATATAAAGATGCCGTTTTTACATCATTGTTCTACTTATTATGAAATTAAATATGCTACACACAGATTTATCCTAGCCTTCTTAGTTCAAATTTATTTCTTATTTCTTTCTTTTATACTTTTTATTTTTTACTTAGTAGAAATTTTTGCATTTTACGATAACCTTTGTATCTCGATTATCTTATAACTTATCGAAAAGGTAAAAAGGGTAGTGATGGGCGGTGGGTAATACCCAATTTGTAGATAAATAAAATCTGGGTTTTAATTTTATAAAAGGTGTTTCCGACGAGCGCATAGTAAATACACGGTATAATACCGGAAATAGGAATATACCAATCTATATACTGATATTACTGGTATATTTCTGGTATTATACCGGGTATTTACTATGCGGTCGTTGGAAATACCTTTTATAAAATTAGACTGTTCATCTAAATGCACAGGTATATCGGATACCCTGATTTTGTTTTGTTTTCTACCTATTGAGTATTTACCCACCGCCCGTGTCTCGTTTTTGAGGTAGAATTCAGTGCCGAAACTAGTTCTTTGTTGGGAGCTGTCTATTTCGAAAAATGACTCAAACTTATGTTCTTTTTTTTTAAACAAGACACTCTGTATATTATTTTCGTGATATTTTGATAAACTACACGGAAACTGAACTTGTGCTGCTTTTAAATAACATGCTCTCAATTCAGTAGCGTGTCGTGGATAAAAGGGCGGAGGGGGCGAAGACCTTGGGCGCAATGATCAATAAAGGATCAAATAAATGACAAACTTTTTTTTAAATAATAAGACTACATGAAAACTTTTATTTTTTTTTTCAAATTATAAATTTGTTTATTAAAAAAGTTAGTATACAAAACAGTTATTTCAAAGATGCAAGCGTCTTGTTTCAACCGATTTAAAAGAATCAATCATTTCGTCTATATTTAGATCCTAGGCTGTGTCTGCTTCAATACTGAGAAGTGATAAATAATTGGTTCTATCTTGTGTGCTGGTGCACCTCTAGCAATTATTAATTCTTCCTAATCTACTGAAAGATCATTCTGCACCAGCACTGTTGGTAGCTATAGTGTAAAAAATCCTCAGTAATGCACATAAAGATGGATATGAAGACTCTAGGTCATTGGAAATTAGAAATGATAAATAGTCGTCAGGTGCAAGTTTGCTGTCATCAGCATTAATTTCTTCTAATAAACTGCAAAAAGGTTTAACATTCGCTTGGTACAATATCTGTAGATCCATAAGACATTTTAAATTGTCATCATTGACATCCATATCCAATAAACAATAATTATTTTTTTGGCATATATTAAGGAAGTCTTCAAACCGATTCTCTAGAGTACCAGTTAAAATGTCTAAAGTACCATAAAAGACTGATATCTTGAAATTATCTTTAGAATTTTGATGTAGGTAATCATTCTGGATTTTATCATGAATTTTTTTTATTTTTCTTTGTCTTTTTATGGAAAATCATGTTGACGTATTGCATTTATTTGCCAAAATAGTAGCCTGTTTTTTAAAATTTTCAAAATATTTTTCACTTTCTAATGATTTGAGATCTTTAGTTAGCGCATTAATCATATGAGCAGCTGTACATAAGTTGATATTAACCTTTTGCAAGTAATTGGACAATATATTAATTTTATTTATCACTTCATTATAATCGATTATATTTCGGTCGGTGATTCCCTGAATTTATTTCCATCGCGACTGATTTCGCC